AACTCCATTCCAGAAGTAGATCACATCAGAGGAATTCCTTTGGGTTGGCCTGACTGTTCCATTTACCCCTATTGCAACTCTTGATCTTTATTAAAGAATCGCGTAAAGAAACAACAGAAAGTTTGACCCCACTCCCCAGTGTCCCTTTAAACAAAATGCCTTTATCGTTTTATATTTAAGAAGTCCAGTTATAATTTTAAACTTAATATAGCAAGATCCAGGCTAATCAAAGGAAAAACGTAGGACTGCCACTTTAAAAGCAAAAGCCGATGTATGCAAACTCTCCTGTTAATAGTAATATTTTACAGCATTTTAATATGAAAGTAATGTGATCATTCAGCTTGCTGCTGACCGTGGGCTCAAACGTTTTAATTGTTCTGAAACATTCCTCATGTTTTATGATTTTATTGGTAGAGAGCAAATTACTGTGTGACAACAGCATGCTGTTAGTGATCTGGGTAATAAATGCAGCACTCAAAGGGAATATATGAAAATAATTCCTAAAATTATTTTCCCCAGGAAGCATTACGCAGAAACATCAGAGCGCATAATTGATGTTATGTTTTGAGCTAAGCAACATTTTGCATGCAGTTAAAGATGTTGACATTAGGGTAAAAATGATTAAATCAAGTCAGGCCTAAAGAGTCATAAACCATATGAACCTGAACCATATGCTTTTCTTTACCCTCCCCCCTTCATATCCTAGCATTATTGTGAACAGCAAAATATATAGGCAGTTCCTTCCAAAACAGATCATTTCTGGCCAGTACTTTTGTGGTTGTGATACAGAAGGTTACTGCATTGAAGAGAAAATATACAATGCTAAACCAGTGCCATAAACAAGGCCTAATATCAGCAATCAACAAGGGCAAGAAATCTGTATCAACTCCCCTTATCTGACATAAATATTTTAGTTTTCCTGGTCAATTGTCACAAAATCTAATCGTTAACAAAAACAATAAAATATTTTTTGTCCAGTTTGCACATCACTAATATTTTGGTCAGCAGGTCTGGATCCTTGAAAGATTTATTAGTGATTGTCAACTGTGCTCAGAGCATTGATTAATCCTAGAATTTACTGACATCTGGCGCAAACGTGAAGCCAGAAAAACCCAAAGACTAATGTCTGCCACAAGCAAGAAAACCCTGTTAGTTTATTTAGTGACTAGTTTGCCCAGCTAGCTGACATCATGTAAGCACAAGGAGTTTGGATTATTATTTTTGTCAGTACTTTTCAGCTAGTCCATTGACTGGTTTGGGAACACATTTAGTCATCTAGAATTGTAGGCTCGCTCTGCACCCAGCAATTAGAAGAAACAGTCATTAAAATAGGAAAAGAATACAGGAAGGAATGTGCTATTACCCAGTAACTTTAGAGAACCAACGAGACACTGAAAGCTGCAAAGCGCAGCTGAACCTCACTATCTTACCTTGTGGACACCTCAGTAATGCGAATAATTCACTATTCAGGCCACTTTTTCACAGTCCATCTTTTTTCATTTGAAACTGATGGTGACCAAAATCCCATACTTACTAATGAGGGCACCTCATTTATAAGAACAAAATAATCCAGTGTACTGTATAAACTACTATTAATAGCAAGTTTCGCCTGTAAAACATGAGGTTAATGGCCTCCAGCTTCGCTTGACCACTAAAAGAAAAAGCATATGTTTTTATAGCTACTGTAATGTCAAATGTCTCAACAACAACTTGCATTTATATAGCACCCTTCACATAGGGTAGTGTGTCAGAGCATTTAACAGTGATGGAGCTTAACTCTGAGCCAAGGAGAGAGGGGTTGTGACCATAGGCATGATCAAGGAGGAAAGTCTTCAGGTGTGATCTGAAGTGTGCTGTGGTGTTTTTTGAGGGCAGAATAGCCAGTTGTTTTACATACAACAAGGTTCCACAAACAGCTATTGAGGTGTATGACCAATGTTATTGGCTAGAACACCAGGAGAAACTCCCTTCTCTGTTTCAATAACATTGTGAGATCTTTAATGTCCATTTGAACAGGTAGACAGGTTTAATGTCTCATCAAAAGGATAGCCACCTCTGACAATATAAGCGCTTTGCCATTATTGTACCTAGATCAGCTTAGATTATTAGATCAATCCTTACATGGAGTCTGAGTCCACAAGCTTCCGACCTAGAGACGAGAGGGCTACCAACTGAGCCAAGCTGGCACTGACCGTGGAAGTACACTGGCTAAATACTGAGGTTTCCTTAATTCCACATATTTGTGTAGCAATTGGCGAGACCTCTGAACATCGGATGGGTTTGCACATCAATTGGAATTAGCAGCCAGAAGACTGGAGCCTCAGCTGCTGTGCAGAAAGCTTATGTCTGAACCAATGTCATGTTAAACATTAAATCAGTATCTTCCGCCTACATAAACACACAGTCACTGCATTTTACAGTACATCCTGCAAAGCACTTTGAGAAATCCTCTTGATGTGAAAGGTATTATATCAAATGCAAGGATTATCAGCATTTGTAAACCTACCCTGCCTTAATAAGATAACTCAAGGAGCAAGTTCAGTTTATTGCATCCATTGTGGCCTTCTCAACATAGATGAAGTTCCTTTATTTCAGGCCACTACATCTCAAAACTGTCTTTCCCAGCACACCAGCCATAGGTCAGGTGGCTAAGGCTTCCATTTTCCCATTTGTGCGCAATTTCTGGGGAAAAAGGTCTTATTTTTACCTCAACTCAGTACTCAGCAAAGTACTGCAATTTTCCACTGAGCGATCATTTCTATTTTGTGATATAGTAATATACAAGACATACAGATGTACCCTGCCCTGAGCAGCTATTTTTATCATTGTGTGTGGGGGAACAGTGCATGCTTTCCCTTCACACTTTAAAGGGATACTGTCTCTCTGGAGGGAGAACAAGTCTACACAAGTGTCCCTCATCAAGATGACATTGTGCACAAGTAACGGTTCTACATTGCAATGTGCTTTGGGATTAAATTGTACATGGGTAAAACCTCTCCCCTTTACAATAAATAATATTCCTCTTGTGTTAAGCATTTTTAATGATTGCTTTCAAATACATTTTGTCCGTATTTAACAACTAAAGGAAAGACTCCAATTTTCTCAGCTGCCTTCCTCCAATCTAAAAAACAATCTTGCTCAAGACAGATAGGGTTTTACAGACTTACCAACTAAAATAAATATTTGGTCTTTCTGCTCTGTTCTTGCCTCCCACAAACCCAGGTGTTATTGTCCTGAGCAAGCTAAAACAGCTGTATTCTGGGACAAGCATAGTTCAGCTCTTGGCAACATAAGCACAGCTTTCTCTGAGCAGCTGGCTGCAAGCTTTCATCAACATTATAACTGAGACTCTCCTATCTGTATTTAACATCTGAAATGACTGAATACTCCTCAGTATTCAGCAGAGGAATAGAGTACAAATTGAAAGAGGTTATCTTTTATAAAGTGTTGGTCACACTCCATCTGGAATACTGGGAGTGAAATTTACAGTTCATATGATATTTATCACATTGAATGTGTTGAAGATGGACAACTCCCTCCCCCCCCCCCCCCCCCCCCCCCCTCCATACTACTCTTAAAGGTGAAAGCAGAGGAATCAGCTCTGCAGAGTTCGATTTCCAACTGTGACTGCCGATTAGTAGGAAACTACTCTTTGGGTTTTTTGTTTATTAACAAGATGCTCCAATGTGCTAAAAAGTACTGCCAAAAAACTATTTTCACCAGAGATCAAATTGAAGACATTTCTAAATTTCTGCACAAAACCATATTCAGTTTTAAGACTTGTACCAATAATGGGAAAGTTCAATTTCGGGCCACACAGGTTAAAAATCAGCAAGTTAAGATTAAGAAAGAAAGCCTGGAGGAACTTTTTTACACAAAGGGCAATAGAGTTGGTGGATAAGTTACAAATGGGTTCAAGAAGTATATATATATGGATGTGCTTTAGAAAAGGAAAGGAATTCAAGGATACGATGAAAAGGCACGTAGCAGGGATTGAGAACCATTAAAAAGGGGTGGGATTGTTTGCCCAAAGACTGTTTCTTGTCTTGAAACTTTAGATTCAATATGCCTTCAGGAGTCTATATCCAAACTTTAGTGCTTTTTTCGTTCAGTTATATAGTCTTAGATTCTAATATCTGTTGGCTAATGAGACTCATAATGTTCATTCAAATTACATCTTCAGACACATAATTTCAAATAACTTATACCTTGAAATATAAATACCTTGAACCTGCTGCTAAATTTGAAACCAATTCCCCAAGAAAATGACATTTTAAAAAAAACTTTGTATTTGATATAGCACTTTTCATATCAGGAGAATGCTTCAAAGCGCTTCACAAGATTTAGTGTAAAACAACAACAAAATTGTATTTTTCACAGGCAATCAATAAGGGAAAATTTGCAGCCAGTATCTTAAGGATATACATCTGGCATATTTGTGGAGTATGTACCATGTTGCAGGAGAATCCAAACAGGAAGGAAAGCTTCCAAAAATTGATGACCAACATTTTCTCTGATCAGTTTAGAATTGTTTATCACAATGTATTTATTGCCCTAAACCCAAGCTATGTTTCATTAATTATTAATGCCATTTTAAATTCCTCAAACTGTCCATCAGAGAAAGGAAAATTGTTCTGTTAGAGCTAAAAAGTCGAACTGTTTTTGTTAAAGTAAAATCATAGCCAAAACACTCAATAATATTTGGAATGAGTAATTTCAATATAAAACCTGGCACACAATTTTCAAAACGTACCCTTAGAAGTTTAATGAAATGTATTTTAATTATTTTACATGTAGAAAAGAGGAGTCATTGTCAACGTAATATAGTGTAACATGGTGGATAGTCAGTGCTCAATATAACCTCTTCATTAGAGAGGGGACACATCAAGACATATTCATAACAGCAACAAACAGTTGGGTGAAAAATGCATGGGGTCTTATATTAATACTAATGATTATTATCACACCACAAAATGTATTTTCTATCCTAATGTTCTTCACAGATAGAAATTCTCTGATTGGTTGGTTTGTACTGTTGAATTTCAGATAAGGGTGACAGAACTGAAAAACGTAAAAGAAAATTTGGAATCTTCTGAGTTTCTGCAACTAGCCATTCAACCTAGGCAAGAAGATTCATTTCAACAAGCAATCTTGACAGAGTGGCCTAGGTGCATGGATGAATGTGAAATGAATGACACTGAAATGAATCTGAGCAGTCAATCTTCAAGTCATGTAAGAGACACTGAGAAATTCCATTCATTAGATGTTATTGAGAATCAGACAGAGAAACAAAGGAAAGGTAATATCTCTCTTCCAGCACAACAGAACTGTATGGCAGTCTACTTGCCCAAAAGAAAACAGCTACAAAGAAGCCAAAGTATTAGCTCCTTACAATCACCAACAAGGTTGAATGTGGATGTAGTGCGGGAAGAAAGGGACAAGGGGCACATGCCTGTTATAGGAATCATTCAACGTATCTTACCAAAGATACAGTCCAGCAAGCATTGCAGCTCATGGGCACAAATAACTGGACGTAAGGTAAGTGAATTAATATAATTAATAGAATTTAACAATATTATTGTTAATATTCATTTTAAAGACTATTCTGGAGCCTGCCAGGATTCCTACTCTTGATTGTAATCTTGTGATCTGATGGAAAATTGTATGTGAATGGACATAAGGTGAGAACCAGGTAAGGTTTAACTGTGTTGCCATAATCTACCAATGCTCCCATCTGTTCTTGCCCTTGAATAATAGCTAGTAGGGCAAGCTGCAATAGGGTAACTGGCAACAGTGGAGCCATGCTTCTCATCCATATGGCATAGGACATTCTCAGACTTTTCACACAAATTACATCCTCAAAGTGTTAGCTTTAGGGAGCTTCTGATCTACTGGGCCTGTGATAGAATTGCCAAACAGAGGTTATCAGGCTTCCCCGTTGAGACAGTGAAGAAACTGACAAATGAGTTAGCCAAGGCTTTTCCCTCCAGCTACTTACAGAGCAGGATTTGCAAATGTCTGGGAGTCAGTCAATTTCTGACATAACATGCTCAGACATAGGGTAATCTGTTGGGCAGCGAGGAAAATTAATAAAATTATGAAACAACACTTTTACAGTGTCAACATATCAAATATTTCTGTACAACTAAAATCATGATATAAATTTGCTCATATTAGAGAGAGTTGAGCACATAAAAATTGGGGTGAAAAATGTAACATGTGATGCGATAATTATCATTGGTAATAATTATCACATTGAGTAAAATTGTAATCAAACTAATCAATAACTAAAGAATGGCCATGGGTATGAGATACCCCTATTTCTCCCATACACACACATATCGCAATTTTAGTACAAAATTGGCCATATTTTGTTGACTTTTATTGTTGTTTCTAGGTCCAGAGCTCGAATTCCAGTGCCACTTTCATGAGATATCATCTTAACTCAATCCAAGTAATTTACTATGAGGGTGACTAAGAACAGCTTGGGGGTAAACCTTCCTCCCTTCATTTTGGGGGTCAGTGAACATTTGCTGTCCATCTCTCCATTCACAGTGCTGCTAAGACTAGAGCAACACAGTCCCATCAGACACTTGATGGTAGTCAGTGCCACACATTACACTCGAAAGCCTTGTTGTCTATTAACAATAACCTGTGCTTCTAAGTGTGCACCGTCATTCTTCTTTTGCAACATTTCAATCAAATAAAGTCATTCTGGTCATAACAAGGACATTTTGACATATTACCTAGCTTGTTGATGACTTACATGTCAGACAGATCCCCTGGAGGTTGTTGTAGTGCATTGTTAGATTTGAATAGCAAGACGCAAAGTAGGATTTTTTTAAATAAAAATAAAAGAAACCAAGGTCCCAGACGAATCCCTGATGAATGTACTGTTAGTGTTATAGCTATAAAGATCCTTCTTTCCCTGGCTATGTGAAACCTTCTACATATGCAGCTTCAATTACTATCATCCAATTAATCTGGAGGATTATTTGTGAGGATACCAGAAGAAACGCCTCTTTAAAATAGTATCATGATATCTTTAACAACTTGAGTATTGATAGTACTCAGTTTATCTTATCCAAAAAACGGCAACCTATGATAATGCAACAGCATCACAGTGGAGTATCATTCCACACTATGGGCTCAAGACCCAAGTCAATGTCAGTCATTGAACCAACACTGTTTTGAATTATGAGGAAGAGTGCTACTAAGTGAGCCAAACTGAACATTTTTTTAACAAATCCACTTTGTACAAATTATCAGAATAAATATTCTGAATATAACACAACTGTTCCTAATGTATCACTGGAGTTGCACAATGAAGAGCTGTGATACCCATCTGTGAATGGCATGAGCCTCTCTTATCAATTAGCATTTCCTTCAGTTAACATGAGCAATTCCCAAAATGTGTCCCATTGCAGTACCAGTGTAAAAGGAACTTAACCAATTGGTTGGAATTTGAAATGCACATTCCTGACCATTCAATGACCACATCACACAGAGAGAGATCTACACACTGTAGATCACTTCCGTATAACAATAAAACACTGGATCTAAGAACATAAGAATTTACTAAGCGAAAGAAGACCAAGGTCCATCTAGTTAGCCTTCCACCGTCCTGGCAGTTGTTTGACATGTCATGCCCCAAACTATACACTGTATCCCGAGATATTAGTTTTAGCAGAAACCTATCTAATTTGTTCTTGAAACAAACAACATTTTCTGCTTCCACTGTCTCCCTAGGGAGCCTGTTCCATATGTTTTCTACTCGCTCATTGAAGTAGTGTTTCCGCAGATTTGTTCTCAATTTACCCCCCTTCAATCGCAGGCCATGTCCTCTGGTTCTACTGTTCAGTACAAGATAAAACAGCTTATCATGGTTTACATTATGTATTCCCTTAAGAATCTTAAAGACTCTAATAATATCGCCCCTCAACCTTCTCTTCACTAGTATGAACATGGCTAATGTTCAGAAGTTTAAGGAGCTCCAGCTTCAATCTGCATAAAATATTGTAAGCACAATAAATACAAGGATTGTGGTATTGCTTGTAATCTAACCTCTGGCATTGCATTTGTGGTTACCTGAGGCAGTAAAATTAGATTATAATAACATAATGCATTACTCTAGATATTATTCCAAAAAAATATTACTCTGAATATATTTATGTTATCTTTCTATTGACCGTAATGTGGAGAAATATTTTTGTAAAACATATCTGATTTCAAACAGAAAAGTAGATGGCTTACAGTTCAGCTTGTTTCATTTTGTGTGAACCTGGCCTGGTTGGTATCACTCTTGCCTCTGAGACCGAAGGTTGTAAGTTCAAGCCCTATGTCAGGACTTTGAACTCATATAGTCTCAGCTGACACTCCAATGCATTGCTGATAGTGTGCCGCATTGTTGGATGTCCCATTTTTTGGATGAGACATTAAATTGAGGTCCCATCTGCCTGTTCAGGAAGATGTTAAAGATCCTATGACACTCTTTGAAAAGAGAAGTTCTCGGGATGACAGTCCTCCAAATAAAATTGATCATTAACTTCATGGCTGTTTGTGGGAAATTGCTGTGTGCAAGTGCAAATTAGCATTTGTGCATAAAACATACACAGTGTATCCTGTGATGCACTTTGATAAATGAAAAGCATTATACCAAATGTAAAGATTATTAATATTATAATGTTACCACAGTTTAAATTACTCTGTAGAAGTCATTTCTAAATGGTTTTCACTATGGGTCAGCCAGACCAATAACACTGCCACTTTACATATGAATGGATGTTACTTTTCTCAATATATTTGATCTTAGCTACTTTTGGCAGAGAGTTGATATTTTGTTCACCTGGTACTTTGTCAAGCCATTTTTGAATAGGCTTATTAACGTTATTAATATTATTATTTGTATTATTATTGTTGTTGTTGTTGTCTTCCAGAAATATGCAAAAGAGCTGCATTGTCCCAGCAGTCCTTCAAAGGGACCTTTACGAGCTTGCTCCAATATTGAACTTCCCACGAGAGTTCTTGGTGGCTTATTGAACTCCAGGCCCAAATCTGGAGAGCAATGTGTAAGTGTACAACAAGGAAATTCCAGGAGCACACCTCACCTCTTACCTTTGACCTACGACTCTGCTGCGTCACTTGCTTTCAACTTGAAGTCAGCAGAAAGGCTTGTTGGCCGTCCTGTATCCAACCAACCCATTTATTCCTCAGGAACAGCTTGGAAGGATGTATCCAGGTCACCTGACCCTGTGTTGTCACAGAAACATCTGAACCCTAACTCATCCTGCAGTTAAGCCATGGACGAGCACAGGCATGACCTTTGACTCTGTAAAGCTGATGCTTCATTGTTTCTTTGTCAACCTTTATGAAATCTGTTGCCTGCTTCATCTTTTACAAGCTTGAGATCAGCGTGAGCTCAGAGCTTGACATGTAGCAAGAGGAATTTCTGTTTTTATTTTTTAAATCCTGGATCATAGTTGCATCTGATTTTTGTGGCCGAGTTACAACCACTAATGTATTACGTTTGATCAATTGCACAGGCAGCCTTTTTTAGAATAAACCTCTATTTTATATCGGTAATGGATTTAAAGAGCCTACTTCTTATTTGAATATTTAGCATTTTCCCCTCCACATTGAATATCGATTGGATAATCAGAGCTTTAAGTGGGATGCAGATGTGATCCGTAAGTAGAATCATGCATTTGTCCCTGTGTGGAAAGCCAGACTGTCACCCATACTTGGATCCCAAGAAAGAGAGTGCTAGGTTTCAACGCTGGAATTTCAATAGAGCTGCAGCAGCACAGAAGGGACTGGAGTTGACTTTTATTTGCAGAGAGCTTCTACCCATTGTCTTTGTAGAGACTGCAACACAGTGAGATTGACACAACTGATCTTTGGACCTCTGCAGTCAAGGCATCCTGGCAAAGCTGAAAATGAATTGCAGGGACAGCATGAATTTCTTTTGTACAGACTTCTTAACAAGTCAAACAATAATAACACATTCACATGCATATAGCCCCTTTCACTTCCCAGAGTTCTTGGTGGCTTATTGAACTCCAGGCCCAAATCTGGAGTGCAACGTGTAAGTGTACAAGAAGGAAATTCCAGGAGCACACCTCACCCTTACCTTTGACCTACGACTATGCTGCATCACTTGCTTTCAACTTGAAGTCAGCAGAAAGGCTTGTTGGCCATCCTGCATCCCAAGACACTGGACAGTCCAAGGTTTGCAGCCAAGCTTGGGGTGGGAGCTAGGGAGGGGTGGGAGGTGTGGAAAGAAAACTAAAAGCATGGTCAAAGAGGAAGGACTTTGTGTGGATTGAAGGAGGTGAGGAAGGGGTTGAGGCAAAAGGACTGTGGGATGGAGTTTCTCAGAGTCGGGGCAGATAAGCTGATAGCTGATTGCCTATGGTGTGGTGGGAAGAATGGGCGATGTGAAACAGACTGGTACCCATTGAGCGGAGGAAGCAAGTGTGTTGTTAGGATTTGAGGAGGTCAGAGGTAGGGCAGACCATGGAGCTTACAGCCTAGACATGCAGCAAATTGGACAAGCAGATATAATGCAAAATTCACCAAGTCAGACATTTCAACGATTGGTCTGCGATGAGCAACTATACCTTGTTAACTGAAAACCCAGGAAATGGTATATGTACGCTTTCACATAGCTTAGGGTGAGAGATTCATGCAAAAGACAGTTTCACTGCAAAAGACAATCTCAAACCCCAAAATGGGTAAATAATGGAAAATACCATTTGTACAGAGGTATTCAGTATTTGAGCAAAGTTCAATTGTTTGAAATTAAACCAAATTATATGTATTTTTGGCAAACCTGTGATTTAATTATACTTCTCTCTGCTTTCAATATCACTTGAAAATAAGCCATTTTGTGAAAGATTGCAATGTCTTCTGATGGCTCTGAGATGAAACAAACCTGTTCTGTGATTCACTGTGCAGATGTCTAGTTAGTCAATCAAGTGATTTGTAATCACAAACACTGTCAGAAAGTGGATGAATAATGGGCTGTGATAAAATGGTGGGATCTTCTGTTGTGCTCCTTCCACATAGTGAATGCCATCTGTAATTGTCAGGTTATGTTGGCTTTGTTCTTTATATGAACAGGGAAGTTAAACAATGTAGTGCTCTTCCCTTCATCTGAGGAGTCCACACGCACACACACATACAAGGCAGGGATAGCCATTCTACAGGGACTGGTTAAGTGGAGAGAGTTTCAGAAATGTAGAAAGGCAGAAGAGTGCTTAATGTTGCATGTGGTATTGTCCTTAACCCCTTGTTCACTTTTGAGTACCAAGTAGAGGTATAAGAAGGTCTGATTCATCATTTTTTATGCAGCACGTCTCTGACCTCAGCCATGCTATCTGGGGTGAGCAATTTTTTTTTAATTGTAAAGGAATGAAAGTCTCAAAAAGTAAAGTTATACCAGATTAGACAACAGAAGCTGCGATTCAGTCAATGAACATAACTTCTACTCCTCATCTCTATTCTAAAATGTTAGGCTTAAGGACCAAAGGGCAAAATGTTGATACAATCATATGCAGTGTTATTCACTATTTATTGAGTGCTCAAACCCAGCCCAGGCCTTTCTTAAGCACTGCTGCCAGGAATGTTGTACCATGGAATGCTGATGCACAAGCCTATGCCTGTGTTTCCCCACACAGTGAGTGCCTAATTTCAATCAAAATTCAGGGCCAATATTTCTATTAACTAATACTGGGTGAAAATTGGAATGTGTGATATGTTAATTAACATCACTAGTGCCAGTCAGCACATGGATTGAAATTAGCAACCTGATGATATTTGGCAGACTGACTGGTCCCTAAGTGTGTTGAAGTGGGTTTCACTTCCTGAAATCCTTTCCAAGGGCTGCACTGGGACTTCCAGCTCAAGGTTATGTTGAACTGATGATTAGTAGGATATCAGGTTTACTCTGAGTTTTTGTGGTTTACTTTAGCCAGTTTCTCATTAACTTGCGCTCCAATGTACGGGAGACAAATTCAAATAAGCTTCTCAATATGACTATTGAGACGGTTGTGTTGAGTGAGTTCCACCTCCAGCATACACCCAGGAACCAGTTGTTGTTTTAAATGCCATAAGTCACTAATTTGAATGTATGCATTAATTAGCAACATTAGCAACGGTTTTTACCCCACTATTTTAAATAAGATATTTTTAGTTTATCCATTTCAATCTTTGGCTGGACAATAATGACAACAAAATTACATTTGTATAGCGCCTTTCACGTTGGAAGGACGTCCCAAGGCGCTTTGACAAGAAGACAAAGAGAGGGCACAGTATTAAATCCCAGGTGGCCCAGACACACATGGTCTGCCCGGGGCCACAGGTGAAGGAAAGCAGTGCCTCAAGTGACCTTCTCCCCTATGAGCCTTATGATGAGGAACACTGCATAATATTTAACCAAAGTAAAGGAAAATGAAATTCATCAAGATGTACTTGTCATGTGAGAACTGCTCTAAAGATGATCACATATGTATACTCACACGACCGTACATGTGTTTTATATCGCACACTTGGTGTATTTTATCTACAGCAACATTCTAACACTATTCTACATGTGTTTCATATGCTGCAGGATTTGAACACGTACCCAATGATGAGTTCTTTGGTGCAGAAGTATTTCAACACTACACTAGTATGTGGTTTATGCTTTCAGAGAAACTTTTGCATTTCTGCAGCGAATAAATGTCAGTCAGGAAGTCTCCTGATTAAACAATATTATACTAACAGACTTAGTGATTTTGGGAAAAGACAATTCACAAAAAATAAACCACTTTTCTATACTGATTCATTATTTATTGCTGTTTTACAGACAGACCGAGTGGCAGTATTGACTGCCCACAGACTTTATCTGAGGGAAATTTCAGATAAGAGTTTGAAGTTAAATTGTTTGCTGAGGCAACTATATATATATTTTTTTATGGACACCAAACCTATCCACCACTCAAAAAATGTCACCACCTTGATTTCTGCTCTCTCAATAAAATAATAATAAAAATTATCATTGCATTAGATATAGCACCTTATCACCTCCTCATGATGCCTTAAAGCATTTCACGGGATTTACTGTAAAGTGCAGGCTCACTGACCTGATTCTGCAAGTTTCAGCTTCCAGTAGACAGTCTCAAAGCTACCAAAATATGCAGAGCCGCATCATAATGTGTTCCAAATGTACCACTGCAAATCAGAATAGTAACTGGACTGAAAACAATGGCAAAGCAATTAAACAAATTTGTTGTGTCGGGTGTGGGTTCGAGCCCAACATTGGGATTTTAAGCTCATAGTCTAGGCTGAAATTTAGGAGCAGTGTTGGGGAATGCTGCATTGTGAGAGGTGTCATCCTTCAGAGGAGATGTTATACAAAAGTCCTGTCTTCCTAATCAAGTGGATGTTAAAATCCCATAGCATTATTTAAAAAGAGAAGGGAGCTTTTCTCATTATTGTGGCCAATAATCCTCCAAATAAAAAATGCTCATTCACTTCATGGCTGTTTGTGGAACATTGTGTGTGCATATCGGTTGCTACAGAGTACTATAACTCAGTGGTTAGAGCACTCACCTCGCAAGCGAGAGACCTGGGTTCAGTTCTGGACAGGGCTACATGTTGGGCAAGTTTCCTTACACCACACTCCTCTGTTTACCTAGCAGTAAGTAGAAACCTAGTTGTTATTCGATTGGTGGATTGCTTTTCTGGATAATAATTCCTTCAAAAAATAATAATAATAAATTGGTCACTTAATCCACAATTGTTTGTGGGCCATTGCTGTGCGCAGTTTGGCTCACAAAATATACAGTATATTCTGTGAAGGACTTTGAGACTTTTTTTATTTTTTTAAGGGATCATTATCCCCAGAAAAGCCATCCGCCACTTGACTAACGATCGGTTGCATCCAAAAGGATGTCCTTCGTGGAGTCCTGTAGCTCAGTGGTTAGAGCACTCGCTTTGCATGTGAGAGACCTGAGTTCAATTCCAGACAGGGCGAAACCTGTTTTCTTACTCCACACGCCTAATAATAATCCCTCCAAAACCAAAAACAATAATAAATTGGTCATTTTCAATCTACGACTGTTTGTGGGACACTGCTGTGCGCAATTGGCTGCCGCGTTCGCCCACAAATATACAGTCAATTCACTTTACAGTGTGTTCTGTGAAGCGCTTTGGGACGTCCTCCCGACGTTAAAAGAGCTATATCAAATGCAAGGATTATTATTATTATTATTAATGATACAGTGAAAGGCACTATATAAACGTAATGTTGCCG